ATATAAGTCTAACTGCTATTGCTAACTGCTATTGCTATAATAGACCTGAGGTGGCGCAGTGGTCAGAGCGCAGTACTGCAGGCTACTTCAGCTGATTGCTAGCTGCAGTTCAGCAGTTCAAATCTCACCAGCTCAAGGTTGACTCAGCATTCCATCCTTCTGAGGTGGGTAAAATGAGGACCCAGATTGTTGGAGGCAATAGGCTGTCTCTGTAAACCGCTTAAAGAGGGCTGTAAAAGCGCTATGAAGCGGTATATAAACCTATCTGCTATTGCTAATAGGATGTGTTTCTGTATATGTGTATGTTGTGTGGGAATACACATTCACACATTTACAAACACTGCTAAAACAAGATTGATGAAAACATTTGTTAATTGTTAAAAGAAAAGCTCACTGCTTATTTATTATTATTTTCATGCCTTATGTGTTTGATAAATGACAAATTATTAACTCTGGAAAATTTGCATTGAATTATAGGGGAATTTCTTATAATTGATTTTTAGATTGTGATAAGCCCGAAGGAAAAATTAGCAAGATAAAAATGACTAAAGTACTTTTAAAAGTTATTTCCAGCAGTACATAGAAAGGATGTTGACATGTCCCTTTCAGATGTTGTCAAACTTCAAATCCCATAAGCTTTAGTCAGTCAATGGTATTCTGTAATACTTGGAGGGCAGTGGTGGGTTCTGGATCCTGTTCCAACTGGTATGGTTGGAACGGGCCCGGCATTGCCTGTATGGAGGACGCAGGGCCGTGATGCTCCAGCGGCTCAGCAGAGTGTCACACAGGCGCCGTACACACCATGCACATGCGTGGAAGCGGCAAAGGCTTAAAGGACAGGCAAGGAGCTTGGGTGGGTGGGTCCTCCGGAGCACCCTATCGGAATGGTACCCGGTACCATGATACCGCCTGCAACCCACCACTGTTGGAGGGTTGGTAGTTATTCATCATTTGGATGAGTACGGCTAGTTCTAACCAGTGTTTTTATGTAGCGTTAGCCTTTTTGTGGATGGATTTATATTGTAAATATTTGATAGTTTGGTGAACATTCAGCATAAATATGCTCAATGTAAGAGAAATGGTTTCCAATAAAACCTGATTATATTTTCCTAACATCCAATTATGCAAAGCAAAAATATAACCAATAAGTAGGTCAAATCCCCGATGGCTCAAAATCCTAATTTCATTCTAGTTGTTTTTTTCAAAAGACATTTTGGAAAAGAATGAGTACAATTCACTAAAAATTAGGCCACANGGAGTGCAAGGGGGTTGTGTGTGCATGCATGAGGAGGCAGCGTGGAGTGAGGTTACACACAAGGACAAAAAGGTTAGGTATCACTGTCTTAGGCTGTAAAGAAGACCGTGGGAGAATTGCACTTACAAACTTGCCACCTAACCAGGTAGACCAGTCAGGAAATACATTTTTGATGAGCTCATTCTACTCTATTGTAAAACTACATTAGCAGAATTCTGGAAGTCCGAAAGTATAATTCTCCTCTTATTCTACCCACTATCCAACTGCAGGCTACAGTATGTCCTCTCTTGTCTGACCAATTCCCCAGGCAGCATCTCTTCACCTTTGTCTCTCAAGTTCTTCCCCATATATTATTACAATTGTCAAACGCCAACAATTAATCTTCCAAACCTAAATATAGACAGCTCAGCTGGTAAATTGCAAAAAGAAAAAGAGACTAAGACAACCAAATTCATTCAGGGACAAAATCAGAACTCTTCCAGTGGGTTGGAAGGAACTGTGAAAAAAAATATATTAATTCTCTCTGGCACTGATTCTGTGATTGCAACCCTAGGGAATAGAAGAAGGGGATTAGTTCCCTGCTGCTGACTGGAAGATAAGTATTGGGTTTTTGAAAGAATAGCAAAGGAAAAGAGTGATTAAGCTAAAAACTTTGATATTGTTAAATGTTTGTGATCTTGGTAGAATTGGAGGGGGGCTTAGCACTGAGCCTAACAGTATTAACAAGTAGCCTGAAGTTGAACTGTAATTTTTTTTTTAAAAAAAACCCTGTAATTTAATTTTTAATTAAATTAAAAATGGTGGTAAAACTGATGTCTTACAGCATCAGCTAACTCTGTACTGCGCGCTGCTGCAGAGGACAATACCTTCTAAATCAGATTCTTGCCTTGGGAACGTCACAAATCTTTCTCTTTTTCCTTCTGTCATTGAAATTATGTTCTGACAGCCTCTTTTTCAGCATTTCTCAGCTGGTCTCAGAGAAATGCATGCGGCATTTTCCACAGCTGATATGGGCCAAGAGACTAATAACACACTGTTCTCTCTAATGAGGTGGCAGCCTTCCTATTTTCAGAAAATTAGGAATGTCAGTTTGTAGTAATCACTGCCCCAGCAAAGCTGTTCTTCTATCTCTGTCTCCCAGCAGCTCCTAGATTAAAACTACTACCTTAGCTCCTAGGTCAAGCTTAAATTCCAGTCCTAGATACCGTGGTCAAAATAACTGAAAGAGGTTGCTTATGTCTGCTATAAAGTAAATAGCGTTCAACTGCTTTAAGCCACTTCCAGAAAGACAGAAAGCTGAATTATCTTTTAAAAGGTTTGTTGGCATTAACTTTTGATCTATTTCTGTAGTATTTTAGAAAACAACCCTGAGATTTCCTTTTTTGGGGGAGAGAGNTAAACCTTGTGGACAGCCTTCCCAGAAGAGTTGAAGCTGTTATAGCTGCAAAGGGTGGACCGTCATATTGAACTCTATGGATTAGGAATGGGATATCACTTACAGTAAGTTCATATGCTAGTAAAGGCAGGTGAGCGAATACTTTTGGCAATATAGTGTATATTTGAGGTCTAATATTAACCGATGAAAATGATCATTTTCCAGTTAAGTCCAGTGTCAAATACCCACATAATATTTCTTTTGCACAATTACAAATGATGTACATGTTTGTTTTATTTAATCAAGGCAGGGTTACAAGTTCGCTGTTGCCTTTTCTAAGCTTAATCTGTGAGTCTGATGCAGCTGTACCATAAGCAATCTTTAAGAAAGATAAGTTGGGAGAATAAGAAGTGTGTGAAGTTGATAGAGATTTGGCCACCAGAGGGAGCCCCTTGCATACATCTTGTTAAAATTTATTTATTTATTTTTGGGTAAGTAACTTGTAAACAATAAACAGCAAACTGTATTACATAGGACTTTCTCTAAGCTTTGTTTCTAAGTCTAAATTTTGTGGCAAAGA